TCTCAGATTCTGGAGGCCTTTGGTAGCACTAAACCTTTAGTTATGAAGGAGTCAGTGAATGTGTGTTGGTTGGAAGGAATTGAGTACCTTTCTGACATAATTATAGGAAAGTGTTCGGGGTTCTGTGGTCTAGGACCTCTTCTGGCACCTGCTTGTATCAGTTTCTGTAACAGCAGAGGGAACATGGCCAATGTAATATTTCTTGTCCTTGCTTCATTTAGGAGATGAGAATAAAGCTACATGCCAAGGAAATCACATTGAAAGTTAAAAAATTAAAATGAAAATGCATTTTTCATCATTACTTTTTGACAAAGTTAAAAAAGAGTGCTGATACCAGGCATGGTGACACATGCTTATCATCCCAGCACTTAGGAGGCTGAGGCAGGGGGATTGGTGAAAGTTCAAGGCTACCTGAACTATATACAGCAAGGTTCTGCCTCAAGCAAGCATACAAAATCCTGTCGCCCAAAAACCTGCTGCTGTCTCATAAATGCTTGAATCAGGGTGTTTTGTTTTTTCTAATGCAGGGTCTCACTACACAGTTCGAACTCATAGTGATTCTCCTGTTTTTCAGCCTCCCTAGCTTCGGGATTATAGGTGCATGCCACCATACCTGAACTTGGTCTCTGACTCAGCGCACCCAGTGGGTGGGGCTGGCACAGCATATAGTGCCAAGGATCAAACCCCAGCCCCCGTACTTGCCTAAGCAGGTACTTAGTCCTGTGAGCTATCTTGCCAGCCCTGGAATGTGTTTTTTAAATATTGTCTATGAATAAAAACTAAACTTTATGACTAGTTGCCATGAAAATTTGGTAAGCTGGTAATATTTTGGTAAGCTGGTGACTTGTTCCAAGTCATCCCCCAAAAGACCCATCTTTTGTCAAACTGAAGTCCCCATCCTCTTAGGGTTATTCTTCATTTTGCTATTGTTTCCAGTATAAAAGATTGTAACCTCACTGATAGAAAAAGAAAAATCTAAACAACAATCAAGCAAAACAAATTCACCATACTTTGTCTTCATTGCCAGAATTTTAATGTCTGTCCTCCCCAAATTTGAATCATATTTTTAAATGTAGTAAGTAAAACAACAAATAGAATCAAGGTTTTTATTGATTGTTTATATGATAAGCATTTTTCCATGTCACTGCATACCCAGTGATTTCAGTGACCTCACTGGCCAGCCTTCGAGGTGCTGCAAGGACAGTCTCAGAAGGGAATGCCCTCGCTCCTTAACTAAGTCCTCACAGCTGGCCGCAAAGGAAAGTGAGTGTCCTGCTGCATCACTGGAGGGCCACCAGCTCCAGCCAGCCCTTTCCTGTTTTGTTCTAATCATCTGACAGGGGAAGTGTAACTCAAAGCTGCATTCATTTCAGGCTCTGCTCCTCTGGCTTTAGAGCTTGTTGCTTAAAATACCAGAGAGCCTCAGGGGTAGGTTTGTCCCACACTGTCCCAGTTTTAGCACTGATCATTCTGTATCCTGGGAAACACTTCGGTCCAGGACACACAGGGAGAGCTGGTCCTCACGCCAGGAGAGAAGTGGGCTGAGCGCATGCACGTCCATCATGCTGGGCTGACGTGGAGACTTCGGTGCTGCCCTGGAACTCCTAATGTCATGATGAAGGCAGCCCATGCATGCGCTTGGCTTCAGCACCAAGCACACCCACCTGGCTTCTCAACTCACAGGCACTGGCCGCTGCAGTATATTGCCCACCCACCCCACCCACAGCAGCCTACAGACACGGGATATCCCTGGGGGCAGTTGAAGAAGTAAATGTAAATTTTGCTAAAAACAAAAGCTCTGGGATTCTTAGATTGAATATTGGCCACCGTTAATGTTGACTCTAAAATCACTTTGCTTGATCATTGCATTAGTCAGGTTCTCAGAGAAACAGAGCCAGTGCAATATGTATCATTGTAAGAGAATATTTATGAGACTATCATATGCAGCCAGAGACAGAGGGGTCCCACAATGGGAGGCCAGAGACCCAGGGAAACCACTAACTTTTCAGTCTAAAACTGGGTGCCTTAGAGGGGCCAGTGATGCAATGATGCCCTCCTGATCTGAGGCAGAAGGCCCAGAGGCTCCGGAGGAGTCACTGCTGTGGGTCTTCCTTAAAGGCTGAAGAATCTGGCATCTGAGGTCCACAGGTGATCACAGCAGCAAACACTGCACCCGCTCAAGGAGGGTGGTCTGAGGACAGGCACAGATTTACTCCTCCTTTTGTTTTAGGGCTCTCTCCAAGTGCCTGGCCCATTGGATGGTGCCACTACTGGGTGCCTCCTTTTCTCCCCTGGTTCACTGTGTCACACACTACTCATCTCTGGAGGCAACCCCCCAAACATACCCACAAGTGTGCTACAATCTATTGTGTAGACATCTGCTCTAGTCCAGTCAAGTTGACAAAGAAGATTAAGCCTTTCAGTCATTATTCTGTTGCTGTTGTTATTGCAATTGACTTTTATGCCCTTTGCTTTGCAAAGGATGATTTCCATTTGCCCCCAGTGCAGGCCTTCTGCATATTTCACGCACAAAACTGCAGTTCAGAGCTCCTCTGCCTCGTTCTGGAGTTGGTGATCTTGTTCGTAACGAGTCTTAACAAGAAGGGTCATAGCTCAGTTCTGTTCAGCAAACAGGCCTTGCACTTCTATGCATGCAAAACTGTTTTATTACTGTAAGCTATGGGTTTTGTTATTGTCCCTTAGAATGAAAAGAAAATTCATACTGACTTCCAAATATAGCACTGGTACTAAAGGTAACAGGATGGGACCCTCTGGAAGAAGATGTGAGTCACATCTATTGACCGGGGAGAATAAAAATAAGTAAAACTTGTATATTTGCCTATTATTCAGTGTATTTTGATTGAATACTGAAAGAGGAATTACTTTATACATGATTATCTTTCTTAATCAGCTACAATCAGCTCTTCCTAGAACAGTAAAACATTTAGGCCTTGTTTTCTGGTACCCATCATATATAATTGTTTCCATACCGATGGTCAAAACAGCCGTAGAAGTTTTGTATAAGCTGTAAGTACTCAAGGCCTTTGAGGTAGGCGTGTGTGTGTGTGTGTGTGTGTGTGTGTGTGTGTTGCGTATATTTTATTGCTGTAGTTGGGCTGATTTTTTAAAAGATTTAAATCTCTCAGGACTTTTGGCTCTGGGGTCCGTGTAGGAGTGTGGAGGTGGGGACGGTAACAAGCAACATGAAAGGCTATGTGCTCCTGCATGGGAGGCCCAGCACTCTTTCATCTTGGTCTAAATCCTGTCCCACTCCCGCTTGAGGATTTGGAGTGTGTAAAAAGTCCTGGGCTTTTTAATTATGTTTAAGCCTTTTAAGAAGCCCGTACCATGAAGGCAGAGATGGAAACACATGCAGACAGCATTTGATACCCAAACGAAGGATTCCGCCAAAGTCTGTACCCAGGCCCTTTCACAACTTCTAAATAGATCAAAGGTCACGTGGAGTTAGGGGAAACCTTTTTCTTGAGTAGAAGGGCAATACTTTATGATGACTAAATATTGTATTATTTTCATAAGATAACAAGGAGAGTGGAAAGTAAATGAAGAAATTACTCACATTTCTATCATTTAAGTTAATGAGATGTGTTAATTTTTCAAGCTTCATTTTGTATATGTGAATGGGTATACCTATTTTACACTCATAATTGCGATATACCTTATATTTGACTTTAACTTTCATACTTAGCATCACATATAAGATAAGCATTTCCCACATTGCAATGTGGCTCAATCCAATATTTTAAATGGGTTTACAATATCAAGTTGAATTCTGCTACACCTGTGTGTTTAACTACTTAGCAGTTATGAGACTTTTAGACTGTGTTTTGTATTTAGTTAAAATGATATTCAGTAAGTATAGTTATATAAAGTTTATTTCTTTGAGTTTATTTTTATAGAATACACTCTATAAACTGGGTTTGGTGAGACAAAGAATCTCAACATTGTTAATTTTTATCATACAATTTAAAAGTTGTAGGGCCAAATAGCTCAGTGGATTAAAGTGCCTGCTTAGGCAGATTGTAGCTGCCGGGCTTGGATATCCGCCTTGCTGTGCTGTGCCAGCCCCGCCTCCTGGGGTGCGCTGAGAGGCGATTGAGACTGAGCATGGTGGCACATGCCTGTAATCCCAGCTCTTGGGAGGCTGAACATAGGTGGATCACTAGGAGTCCATTCTACATAGTGAGACTCTATAGACCCTGTACTAAAATACAAAAAGAAAGAAAGAAAGAAAGAAAGAAAGAAAGAAAGAAAGAAAGAAAGAAGAAAGAAAGAAAGAAAGCAAAAAAGAAAGTTGTGGCAAAAAGAAGAGTTGTTTCAGATGTTTATCCTAGATATCCATAAGTTTTATGGGGGGTTATTGCATTCTAGGAAGAAAGAACATTCCTTCTTTTGGGCAAGTAGCCATCACATGTGAGAAAATGATGCATTGAAGGTGGTATGGCAAGCATAGCTGCCTCCTGCAGGTAGCACATCTGAAGCACCCACATCTATCTGTTTGCTTTAAAAAAAAATTACAGTTGTTACTGAAATCTGTGGAGAAAGACAGGGCAGTATGGATTAGCAACACCTAAAGGAAAGCTCCATTTGCCAGCTCCTGAAAGGTCTGAATCCAAAGTTAATAAGATGCAGGCTTGTGAAATCCCAGGTGTAGTATTTTTTAGTTGCACTAAAATGCAACCACAGTCCTAGCTCTATAATCAAATGAAGCGCACAACAAGGATGCATATAGCCGCAGATCACTATGAAGTACTGTAACTATAAATAATACCTTTATGAAAATGCAGTGGTTGCAACAAAGCTACAGGTATGTGCAGCTCTCTGAAATGAAGTGACACTCTGGTCTTCCGGGCTGGCCTCTTTGAGCACTGCATCACAGAAGTGCAAGTTTCCTTTTCCCTTACTGGTTCACTCTGTTTAAACCAGTTCATTGGAATCATCTTCTGGAGCCTGTGTTTGCTGATGGCTCACTTTCGTTGCAGGTTCTGCTCTACAGTGGGCAACTGGACATCATTGTGGCAGCTTCTCTGACAGAGCGCTCCTTGATGGCCATGGACTGGAAAGGAACCCAGAAATACCACAAGATGGAAAGAAAAGTCTGGAAGATCTTTAAATCTGATGATGAAGTGGCTGGTTATGTCCGGCAAGTGGATGACTTCCACCAGGTATGAAAACACTTGGGGCATGCCTTCCTGGAAACGGGGTAGTAGGACTGAAAGTAAAAACCAAGTGCCAGTATGACAGATGGCCTAAGCAAATCAAGAAGCTGACATTTCTCTTCTATGGCCCAACTTTCCACAGATAATAATGGCCTAAGTTTGTTTTAAAGCATATAGGAATAATGCCAAGCATTGTGGCACATGCCTATAACCACAGCAGTGTAGGAGGCTGTGGCAGGAAGATCACGAGTTCAAGCCCATCACGTGCAATTTAGGGACTGGGTGAGACTCTCAAAACAAAAATGGCTGGGGCCTGTAGCTCAATGGTAGAGCACGGGCCTAGCTTCCATGAGGTGGAAGCCCCATTCCGGTTGAACCCCCAGTTCTAGGAGAAATAAAATAAAATATAAGTCTTAGACTTGATGTCAAAACAGAAAGAAGGCCAGGTTTTGTTCAGACGATAAGAAGATAATTTAAAAAGATAATCCTCAGCCTCAGGAATGAGTAATTAGCAAGAGTGTATTTCAGAAATAAGTGCAGCTTGACAAAGGAAGACTGCAGAGGCTCCTCTGGCAGATCTATGACCACAGTTTTGAATCACATATGCAGCTCTTGGACAAATTCTCTCTAGGTGATACCTCTAGTGTGATCTCAACTTCAGGAATCAAGCTTCAGTTGTGTGATTTTCTTTTCTTTGAACATTCTTTTCAATTTTTGGTGTACGAACCACTCTGGCTCTGTGAAACGAGTTGGAAAGTGTCTTCCCTCTTTTGAATGTCTCAATTAGCTCTTGCAAGTGTGGGAAGAAGCTATTGGTGAAGTCAGTTTGGCCTGATAGTTTCTTTGGAAAGGCGTTAAAGTACAGATTCAGTTCTTATAATTGACACAGGATCGCGCACTTTTTCTATTTCTTCATGTATTTGTTTTCACAGGGTGTAATTTTTTTCCAGAAATTTATTTCACCTAAAGTTTCAATCAAGTTTATGGGCATAAAATTGCTTTTGTAATATCATCTTATTGTTATTTAATGTCTTTTGAAATCTATAATAACATCAATATTTTTTCCTCTCTTGCATGAGAGGAACTATAACATATTTGGTATTTTTCTCCGACTGATTTTTGTCTTTGTTGTATTTTTGGTTTCCATTAATTTGTGCTTTTATCCTACTTTCTTCCTATCCTGGAGTTAAGTGCACCTTAAAATTCATCATGGTTTTATTATGATTTTATTAAAAAATACATAATTTCCATTTTGCTTTATTCCCTTTGATCAACGGGTTATTTTAAATTATATTGCTTAATTTCTTAAGACTTTGAGTCTCGGATTCTTTACATTTATTTCAAGAATAAGAAAAAAGGGCTGGCCAAATAGCTCAGCGGATTAAAGTGCCTGCTTAGGCAGGCTCAGGGGTCAGGAGTTCAATCCCCAGGCCTGCCATGCCAGCCCCACTCCTGGGGCACACTGAGATGGCAATTGAGACTGGACATGGTAGTGTGCACCTGTAATCCCAGCACTTGGGAGGCTATACGCAGGAGGATCACTATGAGTCCAATCTATGCAGCGAGACCCTGTACACCCTGTCCTAGTTTAAAAAACAAACAAACAAAAAAAAAGAGTAAGAAAACATAGTTACAGCTCTGTGGTCTGAAAACATCTTTCTTTATAATTTCAGCCATTTGAAATTCGCTTTGTGGCTCCCATACAAATTTTGTTGTGTATATTCCTTGTGTACTTACAAATAGTATGTATTGTGCAGTTGTAATATATATGTCAACTAGGACAGCTTTGAACAGCTTGGTTGTTAGTCATTAACATCTCCCCTCCCCCTGCCACTGCTCCTTTTGTCCATTAGTTCAATAGGAGAGATCTGTTACAACTCACACTATAACTGAAGATTTTTCTATTGCTCCTTTTACACCTAGTTTGACTTTTTTTTTCCATTGTCTTTTTGAGACAGGGTCTTGCTATGCAGTTCAGGCTGGCCTTGAGCTCACTTTGTAGCCCAGGTTGGTCTTAAACTCACAAGGATCCTCCTGCCTCAGCATCCCAAGTGCTGGGATTACAGGCATGCACCACCATGCCCAGCTAGTTTTATCTGTTTGTTGTTAACTACAATAGACATGTTCTACATTCCTGGTGTTAAATCCTTTATTTTTGTGCAACCTCCTTTTCATCTGTAGTAATATTTCTCATTTTAAAGTTAAATTTGTTGATAATAGTGCATTTATATCAACTCTCTTTGGAAATACATACATGTGATGTCTTTTGGCAATGTTTTCCTTTCAATAGTTCTATATCCTCAGATTTAAATGTCTCTCTTATGCAGTGTGTAGTATTATTGACAGATCCTGACAATATTTTAAAATTGGAATAATCCATTTACATTTAATGTAATTGCTGCCTGTTTTTAAACCTAGTATTTTATGATTTGTTTTCTATTTGTTCCATGTGTTCTGTATTTCCCTTTGCTTATTGCATTCTTCTGTATTACACAACCATTTTGTATAATTTTATTTTTTCTCATCTACAGACTTGTTAGCAATAAATTATTTCAGTATGTTTAGCAGTTATACTAAAGTACAATGCAAATAAATTGTAGACTCATTTAATCTAATATAAATTATAATTTCACCATTTTTTGAGCAAATTTAAGACCCTTGGAGCACTTAATCATTTTTACTGCCTTTGCTGGGTCTTGTAGGTTTTTTTTTTTAAGAGAATAAAAATAATTTTAAAAACATTAGAAATAATACAGAATTTCAAAAAACAATATGATAGGAATTCATCAATGCTTGTTATATTGTATATTGTTGTCTTAAAAGTAGTTTTTCAGATTATCAGATATAAGCATTGTAAAAATGGTCAAAAAATTAAGCATTAACTATTCCTTTCAATATAAAGAAAGACAACTTCAAGGCTTTTATAGGTAAATAGGTGCAGCTAGAGACTGTACTCATAAGTGAAGTAAGTCAGATCCTCATGTGTAAACATCATATTGTTTCCCTTATTTAAGAACCTGAAAGAGTAAATAAAATCTGAAAGATACAATAGATATTGTGAAAGGGAAAGAAACTTCTCAAAAGGAAAGAACTGAGATGAGGGAAAGGAGAAGAAAGAGGGAAGGAAAGAAAAAGGAAGAAAAAATATACATATATGTATAGCTAATTGTAGGATTTTTTAAAAAAATCTATCTCTAAATATTACATGACATTATCTTAAGCATTTGACACAGCTGGTAGTCACTGGATGTTGTCCACATACTCACCGTTTTGGTTACTTCCCATTTCTGCGCCAGACTTCTTTGCTACTTATTTTAGAAATGTTATATTGACAACAACATCCCTCTTTTTACCTTAAAATGTCTTGCTTTACCTTTTCACTGTGAAGGACATTTCTTATGTTAGTGAATCTTAGCTCAGCCCTTGCTTTCAGCAGATTAAAAAAAACAGAACAACAACAACAACAAAAGATTCTGTGCTGTCAACCTCTGACTTAAACCAGTTTTAGCAAGAAGTTGGCCATGAGCTTCGTAGCTGATGGTGGCCCTTGTTTAATTCTGGGTTTGTTCCCAGAGTCAAATGGGATTTCTACCTTTAGCTTTGTTTTGAGGAATCTATGTACTGATTTCCATAGCAGGATTTCTTTTCCTCACATCTTTGTCAGCATTTGTTGCTTTTTATGTTCTTGATGATAGTCATTATGACTGCTGTAAAATGAATCTCAAAGTTGTTTTGATTTGCATTTCTCTAATGACTGAAAATGTTAAACATTTTTTGAAATTTTCAATGCAATTCTCCTGCCAGTTTTTTTGTTGGGGTGCTTGTTTTGGGGACTTGTCTTTTGGCTCATTATATATTCTAGACCTTCTTCTACCATCAGAAGTCTCATTATACCCCATTTTGTAGCTGATCTTTTCATTCTGTTAATTGTTTCCTTTGCTGTGTAGAAGCTTTTTAATTTGATGTAATCCCATTAGTGGATTTTTATACAATTTCTTGTACTATTAGAATTCTATCAGAAGTCTTCATCTGTGTGTATAGTATCAAGTGTATTCTCTATGCTACTTTTCAGCATTTTCAGTTTCTTATATTTAGGTCTTTGGTCCATTTTTATTAGATTTTAGTGCAGGATGAAGGGTAGGGTTCTAGTTTCAGTCTTCTGGAAGTGAATATCCAGTTTTCCCAGCACCATTTGTTAAGAGTCTATCTTTTCTCTAAAGTATGCTTGTGGCCCTTTTGTCACAAAATCGTACAGCTGTATGTGTGTGGGGCTGTTCCTGTGTCTCCTGTTCTGTTCCATTTGTTCACGTGTCTGTTTTTATGCCAGTGCCCTGCTAGTTTGTTCCTGTAGATGAATGGAATAATTTGAAATCCAGCATGTGATACTTCCTGCTTCTTCTCTTTTTACTCAGATTTACTTTGATTATTCTGAGTCTTTTATGATTCCAAACAAATTTTAGGATAGATTTTTCTACTTCTGTGGAAAAAAATATTGTTGATATTTTAATAGGCTTTGCATTAAGATCTCTAGATCACTTTTGGCAATAGGGCTTTATTTATCTGTTTTTCAATGTGAATTCTGCTGACCCCCAAACAAGGAACGTCTCTCCATGTTCTGATAGACTTTTCAATTCTTTCTTCAGAGTTCTGTAATTTTCATCCTATAGATCTTTCACTTCCTTGTTTTGGTTGATACCTAGGAATTTAACTGGGGGGAAGCTATTCTGAATTTCTTTTTCTGACTTCTTTCATGGGGTGTTCTTAATGGGCACACAGAACAGGTGCTGATTTCTGTGTGTTGATTTTGTAACCAGTCGACTGCTATCTTTCGCACATTGTTTCCTCATTTATTCACTTGTGAAACTCAACTTTACCCCTTGCCTCCAGTTCACATGGCCCTAAACCAAATAGGACTGCGTGTGTGTGTGTGTGTGTGTGTGTGTGTGTGTGTGTACATGTGGGGCTCTGTGTTCATTAAGATTGGTTGAAATCATAAGGCTGGGGCT